TTTTCTACGTTTTTTATACGTTTTTTAAACGTATTATTTCCGTATACTTTCCTTATACTGATTATTTATAGGGTATGTGGATTTTCTATAACATACCAGTCTGATAATATTGGGTAAAGGTTTAGATACATAATTAAATTACTAAATGTATTGGTATTTGTGTCAAAATGAGAATCCGTTAAACTATTGATAATATGTCTTAATGCCTGTATTGTATTGTACCTTCAGGTAGGATCCAATTTAATTACTTTACGATTTGTGTATGATACTATACCCTTAAATGTGCGATGAACCATTTCTTTTACACTAACAATCATATTTACAAGTATTCTGAAATTACGAGCATGTTGTGGAAAGTGAACATTTACATGCAAATTAGATAAGTTTTTAAAATTCTCTGAAAATAATTAAGACACATATTAGTAAAATTATTACAAATTATAAAACATAATCTCAACTTACTAGTATTAGCATTTCACATTCTTTCATAAGTGATTCTTGTAATTTATGGTAAGTTCTTTTTGTCATGGTAACTGAAAATGCAATTTTCAACACTTTAACTTCAACAGACCAGACAATACACAACTGAGATATAGCTGTAGTTTGTATTATTCCATGTTTTGTATGCCATTTATTTAAGACTTCTGCTTTTATATGACAAGGTTTTAAAAAACATCGAATTATAAATGGCATTAACATTGTAAACCTTAACACATTGGAAACATAAAACTTTGGCGATGTCTTAATGGATTCAGCATACGGCTCCAATAGAATAGTTTTTTGATATTTCTCCAATATTCTATAAAAGCCTTTTCGCCAATTACATTGAGTATGCTAAATGTAGCTTCTAATAGAGTACATGCTTTTCCAGCTATAGAATTGTATGCATCCTGTAATGTCTGAATGTATCGATCCCATTTAAGTAAATCAAAAGATTCTTGTATTACCAATCCATATTTAGTAGCTAGTCATTTCTTAGTAGCATTTATATGTTGACTATTAATCTCTAAAAATTGTTCTTCTGTATCATGATGAAAATGTACATTTCTCATATAATCATAATTCAGGTTAGTAAGTTGATTGTTTGTAACATTATATGTTCGACAACCATAGATAGCACCATGTCATTTCACATCTGTTAAGTCATTGCCTTGTAGCAGATCAGCTGTGATGCAACCAATATCACCTATAATCCAAGCATCACCATATATTATTTGCATAATAAGGCTATTTTCTAAATGTTTTATTTCTTCAAGTACTGGTTTAATGAAGTCATCAAAATTTGCCCCAAATGGAAAAAATCCAATTAGAAAACTATTTTTAAGTAGCTTTTGAAAAGACAATGGCATATTGCCAAACTGCAAATACACACCTTCTAAAGAACTAAAGAATGGTACACATTCCTGTTAGTTTCAAAATCATCAATATAAATGTCAAGAAAGATCTTTAAAACAGGTATATTTTGCATTGGTGACTTAAGCTTAACATATTCACAAGGTAGTTGATATCTCTTTGATATATCATGATATTTCCATCGGCCACCAAAGCGATACAATATTTCTTGAATATAGAATTCATATTCTACAGGTTCTAGCTGGTCACATAACCATATAATAATATACTGATCTATATTTTCCAAGTTAATTAAATTCATTTCTCCTTTGACAAGCCATAGCTCTTTTTCATTTTTACAGATACATTGGCTATTACTGGAATGGTGATTAGGAAGTTTTTGATGTGTTAAGATTTGATCAACCTTTAATTTAATTGTCTCATCCATTTCACTCAAAACTATACTACGTATATGGTATATAAACATTGATGATTGATTATGACAGATCAAGAAGTCACCGGCATTATAGGACTCTAATAAAAGACAAGTTATTATTTCTTTTTTTTAAAGGTTCTGCAAAAGTATTACTAACCTTCATTATCGTTTCTTATTTCATATTCCCTGAATAACAATGAATCTTGCTACAGATCACTATGTCAAAATTCGCACTTCTCCTTTGCAATTATTTCAGATCCAAAGTACATTTTTAGCATAAGTGAAAGATTGTTTAACACACACTTCAAATGCATTAAAGAAAATATGCTAAACGCTTTCTTAGTAGACACTAATATAAATAGAGTTTATTGTTTGCAAAAGGATATATCATATTACTTATCCTAACCAGAGGAAGTCTATTTTTCCATTTACGAATACGCTGTATGTTTATAGTGATATCATCTTTGCAAAACTCAGGATATGTAAGGATTCTAGTAAGTTCTTTGTATACAGAAGTCGCTATATAATTAGACGAGTATTGTATAAATGTAGATGATATATCATATAAATAATATAAATACAAATTACTTTGCATTACTTACATATCATATGTTTGGTAATCCAGATAAATATCATTGCTGATATAAAATTTGGAAAATATGAACCATATTCACCTTCAAACTCTTCAAAATTGAAAGAGTCTTTCGACATATTATCATCCATTGTAAGGTGACCCATTTTCTGCGGTGGTATAATATGCGCAGAAATTAAGATTTTTCGCATTAGCATATGCTGTCGCAGATTTTATTAAATTTCGCATTTTTCGCTTATCAATAGCATATCTGCAGTTAAGATTTATAGATTAAGATTATGATTATGATTTGAGATGATCGATCAATCGTTTTTGATCATTTATCTTTTTTTTACTATGATTTCAGTAACTAAGCGTAGACTCGAAAGTTCAGAATATAAAAAAAATTTTTATGTTGATGGTCAAAAACTGTTTTGTGAATTTTGCCAAAGTGTTTTAGACCATAAAAAAAATCCACATTAGATTTACATTTAAAGTCAGACAAACATAGAAAAAATGTACACAAAGCTGAAAATAAAATAAGACTTCGTCAAACTACCCTTAATATTAATAATAATAGGCTAAATGAACGTGAAGTTATTAATACCGCTTTAGTACACGCATTTACACAAGCAGACATACCACTTGAAAAAGTAGACAAACTTCAAGACTTTTTTCTGGAATTTTATAGAAATAGTATGTAAAATTTATTTTATTTTTAATTTATTATTAAAATGTTATTAAATCAATTAATAATATTATAGATAGAGTTATTGCAAGCTCTTTTTTATTACGAGAAAAATATTTGCCAATTGTTTTTAATATGAAAGTTTCTAGCATGCAAGAAATAGTATATAATAAGCGTATATCTATTACAATTGATGAAACTACAGATGTTTGTGGCTGGGCAGCTGTCAATGTATTATTTAGTTTTGGCAACTAAACTAAATTAGTCAAGACAGAACATTTGGATAATGTCAATAATACTACTATTGCTCAATTGGTTATAAAAACCTTACAATTTTATAACATTTCTCATGAAAATCTTATTTTTTTTATTTCTGATAATGCAGCATATATGTTAAAAGCCTTTCAAATATTATCCCCTTTAATTCCTCAATTAAAACATAACCGTTGTTTAGCTCATATTTTAAATTTAGTTGGAGAAACATGGATTAATTATAAGAGTTTCAAATTTCTAGTTAATATTATAGCAAACATAAAAAAATCTTTTATTTATTGTCCTGCACGTGAAAGAAGATGATCTGCTTTTTAAATTTTTTTTTCTTCTACCACAGTTTCTTCTGATCAAAATTCAATCACATTATCACCTTTACATGTAAAAACCCGTTAGAACTCATGATTTAACTTTGTTTTTTGGATTAAACAATATATACCGCAATTATGTAAATTTTATATTGAAGAAGAAATTATTAGTAATGAAAATGAAACTATCTGAAAATTGGCAACAATTTTTAAAAATTCAGTACATGTTTTTACATTTGAAATTATGGTTATGTTTATTTCATTTAATGTAAAGCGGTAAGTTATAATTGGTATTATTTATTTATATAAAAAATGCAAATCTAATTTATATTTATTTATATAGTATTGTAGATGATCTTGAATTCTTTAAATTAGAAATAAACCTATTGCTCCTTTTGTGGCTCACCGCTTGATACATCTTGAATCTGCATTACAATCTGGTATTATTCAACCTACTTTTAGTAATGAGATGAATACTAAATTTTTGGAAGAAAATGTTGATATATCAGTGTTTATTATAATGTTTTAAGAAGCTTATCAATTATCTTTTAACAAATTAAAGAAACATATAGACTATCATTCAGCATTACCTTTGTTTAAAGCAATTCAATGCTTTGATCCA